TGGAGGCCACCCCTTGTGAGCTTCAGTAGAATTTCACCAAAGTGATGAAAGCTTTTAATAGATTTTATTTTATTGAGTGCACCACAGCGTGTGATTTTACCACATATTAATGCACCTGAGGATGGTCATCTAAAGCCGAAACATGTTGCGTTAAAGAATATGTAGAAGAGAAAGGAGCAATCTGTTGCATCATTGACGGACTGTCTATACACAGACATTTTAATATGGCTTGCAACAGGATGCTTAAATACGGAATATTCCAGCATGTTAAATCAGAAGCTGGTAATTTTCTAATGATGAATGAATGATGTATGTCACTAAGTAAAGGTGAGACGCTGATTCACGGAGCAGTTCAAGAAGAGCAGAAATCAGACTTTTCATCCCAATTCTTGAATGAGATTTTCAACGGCTAACCAAGGACCCAACCTAACGGATTAACCGAACCACAAAAAAAAAATCGCTTTGAAAAACTGGCACAGAAACGAAAGCATATATTTCCTTTTGTGATAGCGACTCCTCAGGCAATGAAAGAAAAGTGGCAAAAATGACTGTATAATAGCTCTACAGCATGAAATAAGATTCTCATGTTAGTGGTCACTAAGACTGCAGTCTTCCAGAATGTGACGCCATGTAGTTTGGTAGATGGCTGATTATCAAACTACTAATTAACATGACGTCACGCCCCCTTCCCCGAAGACCGAAGTCTCAACTTCATAACATGGTGAACACGTAATTTCCTCCAGCAAGGAGAAGGCAAGGCAAATGGTTGACTTTGATCCCTATACTGCTGTAATGTAGCACGGACAAACGCGCAAGTCACGCCAAATTCATGCTGATCTTTTAGCCTGCATAGCACACCCATGCCATGCCTCAGCTTTGTTGAGGAACAGCATGTGCCGCTCTTCACCAAGAACCCACACAACAGCCACACACACTGCCAAAACATTCTGTGCTTCACTGACATTTGCTACACGGTCCAGCAGAAAATATCAGGGCATTCTGAATTTAGTGCCACTTTCTAGTGGTGAGAGTGATGAAACTGCAGTTTGTGCCACACTGTAACGCCATCAAAAGCATTAGTCATCATGGAACCTGCAGCCGCTGCTGTAAGGTATGGGATTACCTGTTGTGGTTTCATGATGGATTACGCTGATAGAATGTTTTAAGTGAGACTTGTTTCTGACGGAAATTTATACTGCTTCTTCTAAGGTTAAGACTAAGGGCCTGCTGGGAGCCAGCATGGATTTCTGGGTGGATCATACAGACATCTGGGGAGCTGGGCCTCCTAACAGTTGACTTTGATGTTGCTTATCTGTATTCAATTTGTTTAGCCAGTTGAACTAGGATTTCTGTATATTGTGGTCAAAGTACTTTGACCACATTGTTCGCTGATAGCCTAAATTCTTATGAATACCAATTTTGAATTTAGTGAAGTAGCCCTCGGCACTGAATTTTACAGGCTGTTTAGTGCCAGCCTGCTCTGAAAAAAAGAGTCCCTCCTCACTTCCAAATTTCGGAAAGAAAGTCTCCTTTCGGATTCTAAGTGACTCTTTTGAACATTTTAAGGAGTCATAAAAATCTTAATGTCCAATTAAAAAAGGAAGAGCGTGCAACTGTAGTCTCGAAAATCCCCCCAAACTATGTTCAAACTTGGGAGCTAAAAACGAATGTGTTCTTCTGCAGAACACCCACTGCTAATGTCTGGTATTCTCTCAGAAGCCAACACAACATGGCACCAAGTCTCTCATTTTCGAACTAACTGTGTGTGTGTGTGTGGGGGGGGGGGCTGCTCCCTGCCTTACAACTGGATGCATGGTTTCGCATAACCCCCTTCTGCAAACAAAGACTGGGGCCAACTCCCTCACAAATTTAATTGACTGCTATCCTGAGTTCCTTAATTATATACAGTAAGATAAAATTCAGATAAAATTAATTGAAGACTACCCTAATCTGGAATACTACAAACATTGGGCTGTACACAAAATTGGAATAACACTGAAGATTATATTCAAAACTAGGCTTAAAAGTTCAAAGAAATAAATAACAATATTTAGAAATAATCTTTTTACAATGAGATTTTGGAAACTTAAATAAAATAAAAATCTTCCAGGAGTCAGTATACCCAATGCTACCACTCTGCCTAAAAAGTATGGTTTCATTTGTTTCTACTTAATACCTAATGATCTAATATGGGGATTTTATGGGTTAAGTAAATTTGTCAGTAATCAAAACATGAGTTACAACAGAACTTTTTGCTGAAACTGAATCTTGTCCATTGTGCTCACAATTCAAACCTTTATTATTTATATTTGCAAATGTGAGTAGCAGACACAGAGCTTGAGAAATGGGGAGGTGGAAGGAATATATAATCGTTCCAACTATGTTTAATTTTACCTGCAAATATACCACATACGAAATCCCATTCTTCATAACTCAACATCATACGCAAAAGTCCTCTTGAAAGCCTCCTACAAATTCTTTAGCCAGCAGGCAAGAGCAGCACACACAACTGCCATCACCCTGCACAGCGCAGAGTACACGCCCAGATCATAGCATATTCCAGAAATGGTTCCTGTCAGGAAAGCATTCCTTGCACTTCTGTTAGATATTAATGTCCTTCCCACAATTACAGCAAATTCGAAAATTTCGAACTCTATCTTCCCCTTTGCCAGATGCCTACTTTATCATCGAGCAAAATGTTCAAAACTAGCACTCATTTCATTCTCTCTTCTGTGGGAACTTCGCATTTTGATTCACTTCTTCTTTTTGTCTAACAATGAGCCAGTCTATTTATTTACAACTGTATGGATATTTTTTTACTTGGAAGCATTACATCCTGAAATTTCCTGGAATCGGTTCCTTATTTCTCATATACGTATCATACAGGAACATTTGTTTCAATGACAGTCTTTCATGGCATTTTGACACAACTGAGCGAATACAGTAGCAGGGGCTTCGGATTATAGCGCAACACACTTAACACATTAAGCTCGCTTCACAGCAGCTGTTTATAGATTTACTGGTGCAACAATGGAGATGAACTGTGACGTGTATATGCTACTGGCCTGGCAGCTATGCCAGAAATGTGGACACACACAATGCAAGGCGACAACAGTAGCACCATCTCCTCACCCAGCCAGCTTCAGAACTTTTGGAAGGCTTTTTGATGACCTCTGTATAATACTGTGTTGTGCAAGACCCAAGACTTCAAAGGCTGCACTGAGTATTATGTAACCAAAAATTCCAGATGGTATTACTCATACTAAGCCTCCTCTTATCTAATGGCGTGGAACGTGAATCTTGAAACTGTTATCACCTGTCATAAAATTGGCATCACCTCACTTTTGTTTGTTTTAAAATGAAAATATATGAAACAGAAGGCATATCTGTCTTTCCATCCATGCATGCATGAACTAAATTAATTATGACACAGCTACATTAAAATTATCATTTCATTTGGGTCTGTGTCAGTTGACTGTAACCCTATTTTATCTGAGGGAGGTTCATCAAACTTCTAAAATGCATTGACAAATAAGCAAATGGAAGACTGAATATGTGTAAACTTTCGACTACTAAATTTCCAATATGATGGATACTGTAGGAATGAATTTTGTTCACCTGATATCACCTTTATGACACTCGGTATGGATATTAATTATGTCAGACAACATACCAACAGCATACATAAAAAAATGACTCATCAGTAATACCCACACTGCAGAGGAAATGGCCTTGACATTACTTGAACACTTAAACCAATATTCATGAAAGACCACGAAATAAACAACTAGACAACGACCCATAAACAGCAACAGAGGAAAGATATTTTCTGTGCTGTCTGTTCTGAGATGCTACAAGCAGGACAGTTAGCTAGTGAGTATAGACTGACAGGTGAGATGAGTTGGTTGGTGAGTGAGTTAAGAGCGCTACTGCAGTTCAGTCCTTCGGAGCTGTCGCTGTGAGAAGCCGGTAGCTGAGGCTGGGGATAGTTCAGGAACGCAGAGGAAGGGGAACGTCCACCACTGGTAGCCCTTACCAGAAGAGTGGTTCAGAAACAGCAGGCAGAGAAGACCTAAGTGTGTGCTCTAATGAACTGTAAAGTGTGTCAATTTGTGAAACGGTTACAATTACTTGTAGTCACGGATCCCTAAGAGTTCCATAAATCTTACTGCCAATCTAAACCCCGTCTTGTCACTCGATCATGTGATAATATCATTATGCCTGAGGCCATTTCAACAGGTACTTCATAAAACGAGCACTGCATCTTCTCAAACTGTATTGGTTTACTGATACATACATAATACAGTTTTTCTACCTAAAGGAAAGTGGGAGATTAGCTCTTCCCAAAAGTTTATCAGATGGGGGGGGGGAGAAACGAAGTTAACATAGCAGTTACAAATCACAAGAATGTAAGTTCATACTTGACTTCAAGGAGGCTCTCTGGTTGGGCATCTTCCTTCTAGGAAATTATTGTGCCTAGAAATCTGAAGCACACAATGAACCACTTCTTGTGTCACATGTTTCAATGCGCTTCACATAATCTCATCGAGCCCTATATGACTACACTTTCCTCCTTCATATCTGTGTAAATAAACAAATAAAAGAAAATCATGTCACATGTTCTAAAAAAAACTAAACTCCGTGGTTTCAAGCGAACTATACCGACCAAGCGACCGCCGCTTGTCAGCGATGTTAGTGCCAACTTTAACGGATAGAGCATGTCACGTGGTAAGGGCAACGAATCCCCACGGCCGTTAATCTCGGTTTTCCAGACCGGAGCCGCTATTTCCTTGAAATAGCTCCTCAATTACCCTCACGAGGCTGAGTGGACCCCATTCCAGACCCACTACTCCTCAGAAAACCCGGACCTCTGGATCTGTAGCCAGGAACTCCGACCACTAGACCACAGAGGCGGTCCTGCACCCACCAAAACTAAGGACTTGCATATTTCACACAACCTCCATAACAAAAATACAGTATATCCAACAGAGTGAACTTACCTTCTGATGTGCCAAACGAAGAGACTCCTCAAAATGTTTGTGAACAGCTTGTTCAGCTGCTCGCTGCTTTTCAATCCGATCTCGCTCCTGACGGCGTTCTCTTTCCATTTTTTCCCTTTCCTGCCTCTCCCGCTCTACCTTCTCTCGTTCTTGACGTTCACGTTCTGCCCTTTCTCGCTCCTCCCGTTCTTTCTGCTGCTTCTCAAGTTCCCGTGCTTCTTGAGTCTGCCGTTCCCTGCACAAGGATGTAACAATGATTATAAGAAAGGGAAATTAAACAGCACATTAATAAAACTAATAAGAACATTCTACACTTACTCTTACATACCACGCTGGTCTATAAAACAGATTCTCTCGCAGGTTATGGCACTGATTAGGCTTCGTCTCTCCCATCTGCGCCTGAAACTTCCAAATGGTACCTTACCGTCAGACTTTCCTACCAAAACTACACGTATTTGTCATGTGCTGCACATTCAGCCCACTTATCTCCCTAACATTTGTCAAAGAACAGGTACTATGAAGGTCCTCACCCCAGAACTTTCTCCACCACCCAATTCCCAATTATCCTTAATCTCTGCCTACATCCCTTAATGTCAGACAAAAGTGTTCACACAGAACAAAACAATTGGTAAAATTGAGCTCTGTATGTTATACGCTTTTACATTTCTGAATAGACAAGGAAATCAAAAAGGTTCATGGTCCAAACGGTAGCAAGCATCCCTTAATTTCTTCACGGATGCAATTATGAATTGTAAAATTCGGTTCCAAAAGTCTGAAGGACTCAAAATAATTGGTACTGGCATGTGAAACATAATGTAATCTGTGAAGCTGGCCACCTGTCATAACGGCATTTTTATGGATCTGACAAAATCGCATTAATTTACACATGATTAACCTTGTTTAATTCGGTCATCTATCCGTCTGTCCATCCATCTTGCATCTTGTTCCTCAGTTCTTGCACTTGATGCTTTTGTTCTGTACAGACTTCAATTCAGGAGTATTTTGACCACAATGGATTTTTGTGCTGATTGTACTAACAAAACCTCTTACCCAGCTGTCCCTCCTATATACCTGCCAAACACCCTTCCTGCTGCACCTTCTTTCCCATGGATAAACAAAATATATCTCGGTCAGGTAGCTTGCCCTTCAATCAGTGACTTGATAGCAATATCCGGAATTTCTATAGGCACCTGACAGATAGACCTCCAAAGGAAGTGCGATAATATATCTACTATTTTGTTTGTGAACCTTTCATTCGTTTTCCTAGAGGCTATATAGGGAGCAGTGTAGCATGTTACAATTAATTAAATTGTAGTCAGCTAACGAAATGGTGTAGCAAAGGTGATAGCGGGAAGCACTAATGATTTTGAAAGCTTGGAGGGAGCCTTCTATCGAAGAAATTAAACATAAATTTATAAAACAAAACAATGAATCGTTTAATATTCTTTCTCTGATATTATTCCAAAGTGTTTAGCAATAAACACAGACATTACCGGGTCAATAGTTATGTAGGCACTATATACACATGCGCGCGCACATGCAAGCACAAAGATTTTAACGGTATTTTTTACACTGGCCATCTACGGCCAAATTTCAGTAGAGACATTGGTGGCCAAAATAGACATATTTCACTATTACTGCGGGATTTATTACCCATCTCTACGGTTAAGATTTTGTCGGACGAGGATACAGCTTTCCCACCAACTTCTACAACCTCCCCACCTACAGCCGACATTTTTTTTTTTGTATTTTATGATATTTATGTTCGTGAAATAAATATTAGCATGAACTAGACGCTGATGTGTCTCATTCAGTTTCAATCCCTCATTTTCTTAGGCCTCCTCAACTGCACATTTAAAGCAAGGATGACTAATACTAACTTCCTTGTTCCCGATCACTGTGAACAGGAAAAGCAGACAAATGTTTACCTGGCCTTCTGCTACAGGTTCTGTTTACAGACATTTTAAACATCCAAGCTACTTTCAACGACAGTACACACATACACGGCATTCAATGAAAATTTATCGTCTTACTGACTCACAGGCTTTCTAGAAATCAATTAATAGCTTATGTACAGTACTCCCATATCCTTCTCCAGCGTCTAAAAAGTGCTGAAAGAACAAAATACGAGCACTACTTATTTCTTACTGCTATAAAACACCCAAAGAATAGCAAAATCAACTTGTGCGCTATATGCCACTTTTGTGGTTATGCATCATTTTCTTTCGTCATTGTGTATGGTTTGGAAGAGAAAGGATTTCTTCTTCTGTGTCTGTCCGGACGTCAAACTGATGTTTTGTGAATGTTTGCAGCATGACGCAATACATCCAGATATCCACTGCTGTTTGACTCTAGTGCATAACGAAACTCCCTGTGAGTCACTTTCCAGTCGACTGTGCTTATCGATCGGACTAGTCACCACAGCCGTGATGCAGAGAATTCCACAGGGGTCACGAACAAAAAATACACCAGTTCCTTTCACAAATGGCGTGAGTTCCTCAAAAGTCGTCTTTAATAGGCATTTCCTTAAAGAAAAATGGGTTACTCATCAGCACAGAGGCGGCAGTTGCAGATTCTGTGATTCTGGATAACACGGGGGAGAGTCAGTAAACAGGTCACAAATGCATATAAAAAGAAATGTGATGTTCCAACCTGAAAACAACATCTATTTCTCGACATATCCTCCACCAACATCGATACCTGTCCCATCGCTTTAACAGTGTGTCAAAACCCGCAGAATATAGTCTCTTGACTGTTGTCTTAGCCATTTGCGCACCTCCGTTTCAACCTCTTCGTCAACTGAAAAAACGTTTGCCACCACGGTGTCATTTAAAAGGACCAAACAGAAGTCACTACAGGCTAATTCCGAGGGGTAAGGTGGATGTCGAACGTTCTGTTGCGCGGTTGTTGTGGGCAAAAGGACGTATTGCAAAGGACATTTGTAAAGAAAATTTTCCTGTTTACGGTGGATAGTGTTTAATGTATACAGCGAGTCACAATTGGGTCGAGAAATTCTCTCAAGAACGTTCGAAAGTGGCAGATTATCCCCGACGAGATTGCGGCAGAAGTAACTGTACAGCGGGTGGAAGAGTTGATTCTAGCTGACAGGAGAATAACGATAGGCAGTGTAGCAAATGCACGAGGGTGTGCCCATGGTTTAGCGTGCATAATGAATGATCTTTTGAAGTTTTGGATAGCGTGCGCACTGCTGGTGCCCAAAGAACTGAAGTATCGATTAAAAAATGAACCAAACTGATCTGTCCTTGCAACATCTTTTGCAGTATGCAGCTGAAGGAGAAGGAGAAGATATACTTAGCAGGACGGTCGCCATTCTGAATACTGAAACCTACCTCTAAATATGCGCACGTGCGTTTGCTACCTAGTGATACACATAGAAAACCTATTATGTCAATTGTGGCTGTTCTACTTCCATTTGCGACCCATTTACTGACTCCCCCCCCCCCCCACACCCACAAAAACTGTCACGAAACCACTCGACCTGTCTATGCCCNAAAATGTCTGCCGATACTCTCACGCTCGATTTTAGCCAAGGTCCAAAGGCCTATGTACCAGCAAATATGAAACGTATAACAAGTTAGCCGAAAGGCGTCATTTGCCTGTCGGTATGCTCACCAACTGCAAAAGACACTACGGAACGTATAAAGAAATGCAGTTTCTAACAGTAAAAGCCTACTCCATGCATATAAGAACATAATACAGTTTTTAATAACGAGCGCCTATTCACTATGCCTGATAACAAAATGCGGTTTTTAATAATAAAAACCTATTCATATTTTATTACAATGCACGGTACTCACTGAAACACACGTAAATAGAACGAGGGGGCATAAAAATGGAAAACAAAAACAAAGGCTCAGCTGACAGTTTCTACGTTTTAGCCTGTCGCATATTCGTTTTAGTCTGAATGTATTACCAATATTGAAAACAGTACGTTTTCAGTTGTCACGTGAAACCCGGTTTGTCTAACGCTAGTCAAAGATGGGTGCTTACAGTTCCGAGGTGTGTGTGTGTGATCAAACAGTGCATGTTGTTAGTTTGTTTCTGCTACTTGTCAGCCACCGAATTTCTTTAATCATATTAGATACATGGAAGCATATCATCCACATAACTCACAACACGGATAGTGCAGCATCAGTTAACCGAGACCCTGGAGATAAGCAGCGCGACGAATCCAGAATATCACTTCCGGAAACTTCAGAAACCTGGAGTATCTGTAATATCAGACAAGAAGTTCATCCAAACGTGCCAGCCACTCGGTTACCCGGTCTATGTGTTTCACAGTTTCCCATCTTTGGCTAATGGAGCTCTTTTTGTAACACAGCCTAGCCGTCTAGATTCGCCCTATCTACCCATCTGTGTACGCAAGGGTACCACAAACTGTAACCGTTACCTTGATTTGCAGTCTAAATCACAAGGTCACCTCTGTAGATACATTCATTTTAAAATAACCCCACCCCACACACACACACACACACACACACAAAATTAGTACTTCGGTTATGTCAAAGTCACACTGCGACTGACGGACGGTCGGTCGGTCTGTCTTGGTGTCGAGACCCATTTAGTTCCTGTTTGACAGTTAACTGTCCTGTCCATGTGGGACGGACTCTCTGACGAGAGGACGGGTCTGTCGTTTATCAGAGCCACAGTCAGCAGCAATAAGTCAGTTGTCGGTACACACAATATGTTTACAGTTTACATGTTAGAAGACAATTTGTTTACGTGGGTTTCTTTTATACTCAGAACAATGTCCGCCACATACTAGCAATCCATGACCTCACTGCGGTTACATATTACATAACTTTTGACTTAGGACGTTCTGTTGGTAGCTGCTTAAACAAAAGGTCGGATAAACAAACTGCTCTTGCATATTAAGACGGCAATGCGAGAATGTGGATTCAGTACAGGATGCAGTTAGAGCAGGGGGAACGGAGATATTCAACGCCGTCCGCAACAAAGCCTACCGCTGTACAACTTAACCCCAAACCAATTCCTGCCACACCAACCCGTCTTCCCCAACACCAAGTTTAATGCTACACTGTCATCTGCTTCTCTGGATTCCAAATACTGCTGCTGCGTTTGGTACCTCTCCCAAATTTGCATACATCATGTAAATTGTTGTACAATTTATGTACCGCAATGCATATTTCTATGCATGCTGCTTCGTGTGTCCAACGCATGTACGTACCAACACTACACTACTGGCCGTTAAAT